CGATGGTACTCCTGAAACTACTATCCGGAAAAGAAAAGAAAGAGCCCAAAAAATCTTTCATCTCTTTAGTAAGATAGAAATAGATAAAATAGTGCGGGTGAATTCTTTTTCTGCATTGATGATTTCTAAATTAACTGTAAATCAGATTAACTATATAATATCTCAAATTCCGGACAAAAACCCGACAGAATCATTCGTATAAATCACGTGGACGTGACCTTTGGAGGTCACACTCACATGACTACTGCGCCATATATTAGATAATTTTCATTCCATGTAAAAAATGAAGGGTTCAAAAATATTTATATCGGTATACGTATAAAAAATTTCTGCATATAAATAATAATCCTGGCTTATGCATAATTTATTTATAGGCGAGGACGCAATTGCCACATATTACAGGTTTGTATAATAAAAAATTTAGCCACGTTATATTTTTTCTGTTAATATATAACAATGAAAGATAAGAGTAACGTATTAACAAATAAAAAAAATTACTTCGAAAAGTGGCATATCTTTAGAGGTTGGAAGCACGGGTGTAAGGTCTGTGACGAATGCGATCACCATTCACACTTATATTGCAAAACATGCAAAAAAGTAGCGGATGGAATATATAGGCGATGTGAGTGTGAAAATTCTCGAATAATTAACGTTAAATAAAAATAAATCTGTAACTTGGACTACGAACTACATATTCAATATAATGGTCATGTACTAACCCGCATATGTTCGAGAATTTTTCTCGGCGAAAGTGATTGATCTTCCGTTAACAATGTTAACGATTCTTTCTTGGCAAAAGTGATTGGCGTTACAAATTGTAATGCAATGATTTTTTTTATTCAAGAAATTTTTTATAACAATAATCCCATCCCATTAATTTATTAAACAGCAAAAAAGAAACTATATATTGAAAACTTGTTTTTTATTATCATAAATTTGTCTATAATTGAAGGGGCATATTCGATTACAATCACGTGTTTTATTTACAAGTTGCTTAAATTTTGGGGTTTCGAGGGTGTCACGTTTGAATTCTGCGTTATTTGATAGCGACAGCCCCGGATTGCAAAGCTTACTATACAATATCTTATATGTTTTTTGAAAAATTTCTTGAACTACCAAAAGTGTCTCTAGTTCATCAACGAATGATAATATCTCTTTTATTGACTCCGGTACTTTTATTTGGCCAATGTGGAGCATAAAATACATTCCTCTTTTAAGATCTAACGTATAGAAGTCAATCGTATAATCTATATAATAAGAGTGATTAAAGCAATTTGTTACTAAAAACATACCTTATACTAATTTGCTTACCTACGCATTGAAAGCCAATTATGTTAATATCAGCACCTTTATCTATCGAAAAATCCAGACAATCCTTCATAAGTATGCCAATTCGAATAAGGTCATTACAGTTTTTGTATACGTTGTTTTTTTGTGACGGTGGACTGACTTCACCCACAAATACAACAGATTCTGTTTGAAGTTGGTGAATAACTGAGACAACAAAGTCTGGTTGCTTGCTTCGTCCTTCAAATTTTCTTGATTTACTTTCATTTAGAGCTGTGTTTGGCCATTGAACAATATGTTTATCTGGGTGATGGAACGTACCTTTCATTATATAATCTAGGTAATTTGTAATTAATGTCATTTCACTAGGTTCATTCCTAATTTTCTCACTAGGTAATGTTTCCAGACCTTTCAAAATTACATAGCCTAAATTTTCTTTCATGTGTTGATCATTTATAAGCTCTCTGAGAAACCAATCGATAGCACGTTCACGAGAGTTCTTTGCTTTCTTGACTGCTTCCCGAAATTTTAATTCGCATTCTGAATTAAGTTTTACGCTCTGAGTCGGGATGGTTTGTTGATGTATTTCATCAAGTAATTGTGAACCAAAAGTTTTAATCATCGTTTTTGAATGTGATCCGGGAATTAATAAAAAAATTGATGATAAAGACAAGATTTCGTGAACATTAGATTCCACATTTAAGCCACCATTTTTTGAAATTTTAATCGACTCATTTTGATATTGTCGGAATAGCTGAGACACATTGATATTTCTTATTTTATAATCATGTGGACATTCATTTCTCTCGAAGCAAAGATCACCAATATCATCAACTACTAAACTACCTTCATCCTCTTCAATAAATGGATTATTAATCAGAGAGTATCCTTCTGATATAACATTGAATGGCGAAGGTGAAGTATAACCATCGTTATTTGGTCTTTTAAACATCCTCTCGTTATAAAAATCACAAGTCGTTCGTTTTTTTTGAGGTGTGACGGATTCATTCTGATGATATAAATGGTATTGGCATAGGATTAGGAAAAGAGAACTGTATCGTCAGAAAATTAGATCAACTTGCCTCCATTTCTTGAAATTCTGATGTCAATTTATTACTTGATATGTTATGCTCAGTTATAACGTTAGAATCAACGAGGCACTTATGTTGTTTCTAAATAATTCAAAATTAATAAAATATCAATTATAACCCAACACAAGTGTAAATACTAACTTTTTTCTCTTCCACAATTATTTGATTAACACGAGTTGTGTTTTGTTCTTCCTGTATCTTAGCGCTATTCCAATATTGTTCTACAGTGGAAGAACCCAAATGTTTGTCAATCGTATTTGAAAGGCTTTCTGCTTGTCTGGAGTGTTCATCATCACTCATAGAAGCAAGTTCATTCAACGTTTTCCGCAAATCCTCTTCAGCTTGATCTTTTTGAGAAAATTGATATCCTAGTTTTTTAAAATATTTGCTAGCCGTAAAACCCTGTGAAATAGCTTCTTTTAAAATGTAAATGTGATCCTATAAATTAAAATGGAATAATAATTAATACTATAAACTAATTCAGCAATAATTGATTAAAAAAATGATGCATGCCTTCGACATCTAAAAGCGAGTTGGATGGTTATTATATGATAAAAAGTTCATAATAATTATTAAAGAATATTTCCTTTTTTTTTAACCCAACTATTTTCAGTTATGGTAAGATCAATGCATTCCAAATGACTTTGATGCATTCATTTCGCCGACAACACCAAAGCGAGCGACCTCCAATGGAATTACAGGCCAGGGAAATGCTGGAAGTACCAGAATCTTCCCATAACTTCCAAAAGCTATAATATTTCGCCGACAACACCAAAGCGAGCGACCTCCAGTGGAATTACAGGCCAGGGAAATATTGGGTTTGCAAAAATATACATAATATAAAACTAAACTTAACTGCTTAACTGAAGTCAGAGCAAAGACGCGTTGCAAATACGTATCAAGCAGATCATGTCATTAACATCCGGACAGGGCCGATGATTACATGTTCATAATTTACATTTTTGGGATTTCCCGGTACCCAATCTGAATTTATGGCGATATTATAGAATTCTGTGATATTCTGCACAACTTTTTTGGATTTTTGTGGTGATTTCTGTGGTTAGCTTTAAGGAAAACTCTGCTGTTTTCTGTGATCGCAGTAAATCATCGGTCCGGCATCCGGACTGTTATAATATAATATATTTTATTGAATTAACTTTAGGGTTGGGCCATCTTATATTAGGTTAGGTGAGGTTATATAAATGCAAAATTGCCTTCCCAACCAAAAAAAAAAGCTCAAAATATCCAAACAAAGAAATCAATACTGCATTTTCTAGCCAATGATTTTCTTTATTTTGTATATCTTTTGTATCAATAAAGCTGACCCTGGTGGCTTAATTTCGCATACATTATCGCGTTTACTTTTGCATATGTATATTGAGTGAATTTATTTATTGTATTGATACCAATGTATAACTCACATATGATCGAGAATTTTAAAATTTTTCTTGGCAAAAGTGATTAGCGGGACCAAGAATCACGCACTTATGATTTTTATTTGAAATTAAAGGCATTAATTAATAAAATACATTTTTCAAAACGTATACAATAAAAATCTTTTTCCAAACACTCGTGATAAATTAGTATTAAACATGCAAGATCAAAGAGACAAGCCTAAAGACTTATCCGAATTAGACTTATTGAGACAAAGAATCATTAATCTTGAGACTGAAAATGCTGAAATTCCTGAACTTAGGAATAAATTGCTAAAGTTTGCCGAAGTTGAAGCTGAAAACAAGAGGCTGAGACAGATTATCGAAGAAAATTCTAGACGTGATGCAGAGTTTAAGAGCCGAATTGAGGAGTTAGAAAAAAGTAGAACAGATACTGCTTCCGAGAATGCTGAGCTTAAAACTGAAGTAGCAAAATTAAGACATGATTTCGAGGAAATAAAATCAAAGGGAATAATCATCGATTCTCCGCCAATTTCCTCATTAGCCGAGAAAAAGATAGTATACGTTATTAAGAGTTACAGACAGATAAGTATTTTATAATTTTCTTTATACTTAGCTCATTTTTATATATTAAACACCCCCACGACTAACAAAACTAATTTGCAGATTCTATTAAGCCAATTTCGGATTTGGCGATCTATTCATTCACGAATTATTTAGTATGGGCCAGGAGAGTCAGGCACGTAACTGCCATTGTTCCACAATAAGACTCGATCCAAAGGATCATTGCTCAATCTTCGCTGGCAATCGTGGATAAATAATTTAGCTTAAGGGTAGACCCAAAGGGTCATTGCTCTGCATTAAGTGCGGTTAGTGAGTTGGTTAGTACCGAAATACTTCTATGCTGATCTCCGATTCGTGGATTTAAAACACATGACATTGCTGAAAAATAATTATAATTTATTCTGAATTTTATCATGTACCAAGGTACATATTACTACACGATATTGACAATGAATAAAGCTACATTAGAAAATAATCATAAATCTCGAAATG